TTATGAATGATTAAATCATGATTAAAAATGAATATATTGATAATTATGAAATGATGTGTATTGTTAAGAGTATCTAGAAGAACTCTAAGATATACCCATTTAAATAATTTATATTAAGGTTATCTACAAGACCTCTAGAATAGATCTCAGATTAGAAGGGATTGTGAGAATCTGAATATTCGGTGATTTGATAAAAAAAATGTTGTTGGGAAAAATATTATAGATTTTGATGATGATGTATTTAGAATGTATTAGGGACTTTAAGCCTCCCCCAATATTCAATGTAATTTTTCTTTTTAGAAATATTGTCAAAACCGAGCTCTTGAGATTTCCAATAAAACTGTGATATTTCTCTAAGCGTTTTGATGCCTGAAGACTTAATCAAATTTAGTGATATGAAAATTGGATATCTTGATCGGAAGTGTCAGAGACAAGTAAGGATTTCTCAATCAGATGAAAATCCTCAGATCCGGAAGACTACATAAGAACCGGATGTCTCGCCACAACCCGCTGAAGGCTAAGTCATCCAAATCGGAAGACTAGCGCGGATCTCTTTCTCACCCGGAAGTCTGAAAATGACTCATCCGGATTTGTCAGCTAAGAATCGGAAGACTCACTGAAGACCGGAATTGTCAGAAAGCGGACAAGTGAGAAAAGACTTAGAAAATTATCTAAGTCCTGAATGAAGAAATTCTACCCGTTGGCAAGGAAAAATCAATCTCTTGATTTTCAACGGCTAGATTGAAGATAATTATGCTGATTCAAGAACAAATTAGTTGAAGACAAAGTCTGGGCTTCTAAAATTAAAGAGCCTGCCCAGAATTCCTAAACAAGCACTAGAAGACAAACAGAGTAAAGTGCTACAGTCTTGAATTCTTGAACAACAGCTAGAAGACGGATTTTGTGGAAAAAGGAATCCTTTCTCAACAATTGGGTACGTCCAAACACCCACTTCAACGAAGAATCTTCAAATCACAATCTTCATTCAAAATTGAAGCCAGCAAATGCAACGGATAGTCTATTATGATTCAACGGATAGATTATCCAATCCAGCTATAAATAGCATCCTTGGAAGACTGGAGAGAGTACGGTGAGATACAACAACACAACGAAGCAATCACAAAAGCTATCTCATTCACAGTTAGCCCAAAAAGCTTGATAAAGAGAGATTTCTAAACTCCTTATCCAGAAGCAAACTTCTCCTCCTTCCAAAAAGCTATAGTGTAAACACTTGAAGGTTTCCTTGCCTCAAGCACCACACCACGTTGAAGGATATTACTTTTGATCAAACTTATTGATTAAAA